ACACCCACTGAGTCAGAGTCAGTGTTGTAAAGATTCCCAGGTCATTCCTGTGCCCACGAAAGTCTGAGAAGTACTGCTTTAGGGAAACGTTCAGTCCCCCTGGTGTGAGTGGTTAAGGGCCCCAGTGCACACAACAGTTGACATGATCGTGGCAGATGTCTGACTTCTTGCATGTTGGCTCTTTCTCTTTAGATTGTCAAAATGGATTTTTAGAATCATTTCTGTTCTTAAGTTGGCAGTGTGGGGGCAGGGGAATAGTCTTTCAAACAGTCTTTTTAGAAATACATTCTTAGAAATGCTACTTTATGGGCTTTTTAAAACTTCAGGAACCATGTATCATTGATTTAAGTAGCCTCAACAGACTGTAAGGTCAGTTATTTAAAAGAAATTTAATGGGGACAAGTGATTCAATGTCCTTTCTCTGCTATTCCCAGGGACTGGAATTTGGGGATGAAGTCGAGATTTTGTAAAAGATTTCAAGTGTGGTTGCTGTACAAATTGTAATAGTGCGCTTGTTGAAAGTCTAAAGAGAAAGAAAGGAGAAGACAGCTTTCGTTGTACAGTTTGTGCAATAACTAAAGGACAATAAATCCACTAGCAGCCTGCTACCCTTGCACATAAACTGTATTTTTCTGTATTCCTTTACCAACATCATCTGTCAACATACAAAATTTTCACATAGTTATATAATCATGATATAGTTGCAACTTAGTAGTCTGCTTTATGTCATTTAACATATTACCCTGCTCCCCAACTCCTCCTCTTCCCTCCTTATCCAGCTCTTCTGCCGTCTTGTTCCTTCTCTTTCCTCTCATCCCTTACCTCCCTGTCTGGCCTCCCTAGCTTGGATCTCTGGTTCATCTTGGGCCCTCTGCCACATTATTTCTTGTTTAAGAGTGTACAGAGATTTTTCACTGCATGCCTGAGCATCCGTTTGATATTCCAGCCTCAGTTCTTCCTGGCTTGGCTAGCCCAAACACACGTTGCTTATTACCTTCTCCCCTATTACCTCCTCCGAACCAGGTCCCTTTCTGCCGAGGATCAGCTCTTGATGCATCTGCTGTGTGAAGCCATCTCTGGTTTCCCAGGGGCCTCAACAGACTTCTTGCAGTCACCATCTACCTTTACACAATGGACCTTGACAATGGTTTCATAAATGGGGGCTCACTGCTCTTTTCTTATTTCACTTCCGTACTTGGCAGATGCTCAAGAATTATAGCTGCAGAGAACCCTGAGCAGCTTCATGCTAAGTTTTGTTGGCAGAGGAGTCATCAGAAGACAGACATATTCTTATGCTGAGGATGGAAATGATTAGAGTTGAGGCTATACTACTCTGAGCACTAGAGCCAGAGCTCCTGGGTCACCTCTGCATTTTGAGTCTGCCAGGGGTTACTGTATTTTAGACTGTGGCAAACTTTGGACTTTGGGTCAGTTTACTTGTTTCCATGAGTTGTCCAGTTGCTAAGAAGTTTGAGAGATTAACTATAAAGAAGATAACTGGTATTTTCAAAGGGAGATGCTTTTAAATTTTTGAACCAAATTAAGAAACTTAAATCGGAAATGTTGTGTAGGTATTGATAGAGAAACTTGTAGGGTTAGGGTTAGGGTTGATGTAGAAAGCATTTAAGCTGAGACGTTATTCAAATAGATAGCCTGAGAAGGAGAAATCTCACTTCATGTTGTGCTTGTTCCCAGTTTTTAGTATCTTTGGAGTGTCTAGTTTGTGCTTGGCTAAAGGTTATAAAGAATATCCTCCAATAAAAAAAGGGTCAAGTTCCTGTCCAGCATCAGATGTGAGTTTGAGAAGCAAAGATGGGCTTTACTTAGTAAAATCAGGCTTTGTGTTTCAGACCTTTCAACTTACTGAATGTTATCCTGTGTTGACAGTTAACTTCTCAGACTTCCTGTCAATATAGATTGAAGAGGTAGAACAGAATGGGCATGTTTGGAGAGCTGGGATCAGGAAGCCATTAGAAAAGAGGCTTTTTGGGGTCAAATGTTTTTGAACACAAATGGCCGCAGATAAGAGTGATCATGCCTACCAGTTCACCTAGGACTGTCTCTGTTCAAACTTGCTGTCCTGGTATGATTATTAATATTTGCCCCCTTTCTCTCTCAAAAGTGCCTTCGTTTGGATGATAAATTATATGGTCACCTACTAAAAGCAACATACTGATAAAATACTTTGTGCCAGACACTGTACCAAATGCTTTATCTAATCCTTGCAAAACACCTGAAAGGTAGCTGCTGTTGCCACTTTACAGATGAAAAGATGCTCAGAAAGGTTTAGTAACTTGACCGAGATCACACGGTGGCAGACCTGGTGAGTAAAGCAAGCTCTATCAGACTTTTAAAGCTACTTAATTTTTCCCAGCCTGCCACACCAAGGGGTTAACAGGGTCTTCTATTAATTTGAGGAGCTAGTGAAAGAGTCCTACAATGGTAGTTCAAGCCTTTACCTAAAAGAAACAGTGGAATGGAGAATGTCTGGATAAAGATAAAGGGGATGTCTTAGTGGGAATGCTGGGATTAAAGGGAGCGAGTTACACTGTATTTAGAGCTCTAGACTCCTAGATGCTTGTAGCCATTTGTTTCTAAATGGACTTAAACTGATGTGCTGCTCAGGCCTGGGGTCTTTCTGCTTGGGTTTGGAAGTTCATGGTAGTTGTATAGATCAGTGCTACTCAAACTTTTCATGTGCATTAATATCAACTGGGAGTCTTGTTAGAATGTAGATCAGTTCCATAGGTCTCAAGTGGAGTCTGAGATTCTGTATTTATAACAAGCACCTAGTGATGCTGATATTGCTGGTCTGCCACGCTATAGTTTGGGTAGCAAGAGTGTAGTTGATTAGATTCTCTCTGCCTGGGGCATGAGTGTACCCATATCCACAAATGCCCTGATTTTAGATGGGGAAGGGAGGAGCGATTGCTTCTAGTTGTAGGTGTGCTCACATTGTGATGGAAGGGACTACATAGATAGTTGGTGTAGGTGGGGAATAGGTACTTAAATATGGATTTTTTAAAGGAAGCATTGTGTTTTTATAATTAATACATATGGATTATTTTTAAAGTATATCCTTAGCTTAGGGGAGGGGGGGACAGAGAAGCAGGAGGGAGTGGTCTGGAGTGGGGGCAACACCAGTATGGGTGAGTTCTTGCTCAGCCTGTGCAGTGGTGAAGAAGGCTTTGATAGACAGGAAGCAAGCAGAGTACCTACAGCCAGACAGGAATAATGTGGATGGATGACACAGCAGCAAAGCTCTTAAAAAAAAAAAAAAAAAAAAAAAAGCCAAGGGGAGGAGTCCCTCCCACAGACTGGCCATTTTCCCCCTCTAGGCTATGCCTGAGTGCCTGTGGACAGAAGGGTATACTCAGGAGGCTCTGACCAGCTGTTCCTGTGGATAACAGCATTATCCTCCACTCTGCCCACTTCGTAACCCTGTCCTGGGCGGTCCCAGGTGGGCATGCTTCCCGTATCTGGTTACTTCTTCTTGTAACATGGGAAAACAAGCAGGGTGGAGTGCTGCCTACCTGGTCTAGGTGTGAGCAGCCTGCTTGCTGAAGCTGGGACCTTCGCTTTACCCTCCTTTCTGAGGAAGAGACCTTATGACTGGAGGGCATGTTGGAAAAGGACTCATGCAGGAGAGTATGTTGGCAGACAGGAAATGGCAGTTGCCAGAAGCTCTGGGCAGAGCTGGACTTGGTGCTGGAGCTGTGAGTGGTCACCGAAAAAGGGCTTTGGTCCTGGGCAGCACCCCTGAGAGGGGGCCTGGGCAGCCAGAGGCATCAGTGATCCTTACAGCTAGCCAGTGTATCCTGAGTGCTCCTGGAAAAGCAAGAGAAACAGTATTGACAGAGCCAGGTGATGTGAACTCCTGCACATGGGGTTTCTGATAAGGCATAATCCTGCTTCTGAGACTGTTTCTCTTATTTTGGTCTGTCAGACACTGTTTTGGGAGTGTTTCCTGTCTATACCTACACTTGCAGGAGGGAGGAGCTGGTCCTGCTGTATCTGCTCGTGATTGATGCCCATCCTTTTGGGGTGAGGGAACTTGGGAACAGGGAGTATCCTAGTCAGGACAGATCTTACTCTGGCATGTGGGTTGCCCAGTGACTCCCCCTCCCCCTGCCGAAGCTGACCCCCTTTCTCTGATCAGCTGCTCCTGACAAGCCTGGAGCACCAAGTGTTGTTCCCCAGGGTCCAAGTGTACAGTGTTTTTCTGAAGGTTGTCCTATCCTCAGTGGTAAACACTGCTGTGTCAGGGTACTGCTCAGGGGCCACTTGGAGCACATAGATTTTTGCTAGCAGACTTGTGAAGCTTTGCATCGGGCTGCAAAACCAGGGCTTGAGCAAGCAGCTGGAGAGAGTCCAGGACTAGAGTGTTTTTGGGTTTGGGGGGTGGAGAGCAGAGGGAGGGAAAGGGAGGGAAAGGGAGGGGCAGGAGGGCAGAGCCACACAAGCAGGCAGTCTGCTGCTTTGGCTTTGCTGTCGGCAGAGAGGACTTCAGTCGTGCCTGAGGGCCGCTTGGCCACTATTGCTGTAGAACGGAGGGCGCTGCCTCGCAACCCTGACTTACCGGCACTGCACCCGGACTGTTCCAAGTAGCTGTTGTGCTGTCTTTTCCCTGGGAGGCAAGTCTCCTCCCTGTCGTCCCCTCCTGCTCCTCCCCCGTTCTGTGAGGGATGATGCCGCTCTCTATTGCACGGCTCAGCCGGCTGATGTCACTGGCAGCGGGAAGCATCAGCAGCCTGATCACATGCTGGCCCAGTCTGTAATGCAGACGGGATAGGGGTGTGTATGTGGGGAGGGGGGCTGTATGGCAACTGCTCTTGCTCTAATACCCCCAAAAGTGCAGAGGCAGCGGCTGCAGCATCCAGCCAGCTTGGATGTCTGGTCCTTGAGCCTAAGGAAACTATTATTAATATTATTTATTGTTGATAATACTGGGGAAAACAGCCCTTAACTCTGGGGTTCTACTGTCCTCCTGTCCAAAGCAGACTTCCAGCACTCTGAAGAAACAGTTACAAGCAGGATGCTTTTCCCCACCTCTGCGCAAGATTCTTCCCGTGGCCTCCCAGATGCAAATGACTTGTGCCTTGGCCTGCAGTCCCTCAGTCTCACAGGCTGGGACCGACCCTGGAGCACCCAGGACTCAGATTCTTCAGCCCAGAGCAACACACACTCAGGTGAGTGCCAGAAAATGAGTTGGCTTGCGGGGGTGGGGTGGGGTGGTGTATGGGGTAGTGAGTGAAGATATCCACAGCAACAGTTGTTCTGTTCACCTTTGCATCTCCCCCCCTCCCCATACAACATGGAGCTGTTTTGCAAAAGATGGAAATGCTGGCTGTGAGTGTGGCAGGACAGATGGTTGCTTGTAAAGGCAGGCATGGCTTTTCCACTTACCCTGATAAATTCCCTGGAGTTGTTAGTCTGTACCTGAGGTGGCCCCGAGAAGGGTCCACAAGGTGACAGTCCTATGCAGAAAAGATCCAGCTAACCCCCTAGTGCCCAGGCCTGTCTTGGAGATGATGAAGCAAAACACTTTTAGGTGGGGGAGGGGACTTAAGGGGCTGATTACTGGATGTCCAGATTCTATTTCTCAGTGGCTTTTAAAACTAGGGAGCTATGTGTGAAGGGTGGGTGGTCCCTGAATCATGGCAAGGGAAGAATTTTAACCATAAGTGAGGCTGGGTAATACTGGGATATTGGAATTGGCTTAGCATAAGGTTCAGAGCATTGATCCTGGAAAGGGGTAAGCAGGGTAAGTGGGGTGGAGTAACTCTCAGCTGCGGAGGCTTTTTTTTTTTCTTTGTGTTAAGGGTGACCAAGTAGATGAAGGAAGAACCACTCCCCTTTAGGATCCCTTGTCATCTTGGAAGGATTCGATGGGGACAAGTTGAAGGGGCTTCTTGGCAACCCCTTGAACTGCTTCTGCTCAGACCTTCCCATTGCCCATTTATTTCCCTCTTGTGGTTCAAGAGGGAGGGTTGGCCAGATGCAAGGCTTGGAGTATTCAGGAAGAAATGTGAACTTAAGAAATACTGTAACTATACATAAAAATCTATGTATTTTGCTTTATGTAAATTACACCTTAATAAAAAGAATATTGGCAGCAGGTACTTTAAAAAGATGGAAAGGGGGGGTGGGGGCGGCCATTTGCTGTTGGTGCTGACAGTGGGGTTCACAGAGCCTGCCATCCTTCCTTGCCTCCCATCTCCAGAAGCTGGCAGTCATGGCAGCAAGGTACTGTCTTGTTGATTTCTCTGGCCTCCACCCTGTTTGGCGCAGGTCTTTTTTTAGAATGCTTTGCAGATCCTGGGACTGTTGTGTCTGTTGGCATTTTAATGCCCAGTTTTTTGGTAAATCCCATTTGATTGGGGGTAGAGGGTGGATTTTTTTTATTTGGCTGCAGGTGGGGAAGAGCTTCACCTTAAGTAACTACCTCTGAGTTGAGGTAGAATTTCTTGAAGTACCAGCCTTTAGCTGACTCAGGATTTTCCCTGGGCTGGGAAGTGTGGTGTCACTGTTTGGTATCCTGTGCCTGGAGATCTTGGCTTGGAGGTAGTGGTAGTTTCTTTTATGTGGTATTCTGAAGCCAGCTGGGGGGCCTGTGAAGCTGACCTTGTCCCCACCCTCACTGCTGTATCTGAGCAAAAGACAGGGGAGCCCACCCAGGAGGCAGGCACCTGTCTGTGGTGATCAGTGTTTGACCAAGACACTGTCTCTCACTGGTATCACGTTGGGTGTGGCCCTTCTTTGGCTCTGGTTTGTCTTAGCTACAGGGGTCCTTCTGGAATGTATTATAACAAATAGAAATGCAGGAGGGGCCAACTTGGGGCTTGGAGAGGGCCTGAAATTCATTCTGAAATTAGACTGTGAAAAAAAAAAAAGCATAGCTTGTCCCAGCCGTAATTTCCTGTTTCCCCACCACCTGAAAGGCCTGTTTGTAGTTATTTGTCTTTGAAGTGGGGATGGATTTACTTCTCCATGTTCTGTCTCAAGCACTTAGGTAATAAATACTACATGATTTTTTGGATCAGGGAGGGCCTGTAATCTGTGGCCCTGGCATTCATGGGAACCCAGAGAGTTGCCCCAGAGGTGTGACTTAGCCATGGGCAGGGTTAGTGTGTGTGTGTCTTCCTTTCTGAGGGTTGAGGGCACAGCCATTCCTGATCCCCACGTTATCCTTGGGCTTGGGACCTGTGGTGATGGCCATCTCTCTCCTTTCTCTGAGCTCTGGGCCTTCTTGGAAAGCCCACATGAGGGTTCCGCCTCCTGGAGTAGGACGCAGCCCTCCCACCAGCCAGCTGCACCCTTGCCAGCAATGCAGGAACATGCAGCCCACATTCCAGTGCCTACACTGCCTCCCCATCTGAAGACCAACTAGCTCAGTTTCTTCAGGGAGGGAGGAGGTATTTCAATAGCTCTGGACAGTCTGGGAGTCATCATTGCAGACAGCCTGGTAGCTTGCTGTCTCTGCATGGAGCACCTGGTGCAAGCTTCTTCCATGGCCCTGCTGGGGGACATATTGCCCCATGTGGCTATGGGTTTACATCTGACCATTTTCCACAACTCTTTTACGTTTTCAGCAATGTGTAGGGGGCAAGGTTGGAGATAGCAGGGCTCTCTTGCCTGAAAAATCTTGGCTAAATCATTCAGCAAATACTGAGCACTGGCTGTGTGCCAGGCACTGAAGATACATCAACGAATAAAATTATTACCCATAAAAATCCCCTTAACTATCAAGGGGAAATAGATGAGAACGAATACCAAATGCAGCATGATAGTTGCTGTGCTTGGGGGCTTTCATTTTCTCCCCCAAGGATTTTTTTGGCATTGGGGCAACATTTCATTGGATTCTCAGCATGAGACTGGTACATGGAGACCTGTCTCCAGAGGCTAAGGTCCTTCTGCTACATGGATTTCATTGGCCTGGGAGGCCTGCAGGAAGACGCTGGGGTGTAATCTTGTTTTTGAGAGTTGTGCCTGTAAGGCCAGCATTGGTTTGGGTGTGGTACTCTGTGAGGTCCCTCCCTTCTAGACTCTGCCTACCACCTTCCTTCCCATCAGGGCAAGATGAATGTTAGAAGTGACCCCAGTGACATGTGTCTGGGGCTACCTTTGTCCTACTTGCAGTGTCCTAAGTCCTGTAATGGAACAGGAGGGCTATGAAAGCTATCCTCAATGTCCTGGGATGGGGGAGAGAGTGACTAATCACCATTTATCGACTACTTCCTATGTGAAGTATATCACATGATTTAATGCTTTCACAGTCCTGTGAAATGGGTACTATTATTGTTCCTATCTGAAAGATGAGGAAATAATGCTCACAGAGCTTGTGAAGTGCCAAAAGTGAAACAACGACCAGAATTCGAGCCTGGGTTTCTTTGATTCCAAGCCTCTTATGCTTCCTATCACACCTGTGTTCCTGTGGGCAGAACCCTAACATGCTGAGCAAGAACATTTCCGGGAAGGTATCTCTGTATACAACTACAGGGCTGTTCAGCCATGATGTTTTCCTTTGCCGAGGGTCCCTCAAGGCTAGGGCACGAGACAGTTCTGACTCCCTCTTCACCCTGAGTCTCAGCTCATCAGCTGTGCCCCCCGATGCATTTGTGTTCCTGCCTTCCCCCGGTGACTCTTTTGC